TTTTTTTTTTTGAGACAGAGTCTTTCTCTATTGCCCAGGCTGGAGTGCAATGGCGCAATCTTGGCTCGCTGCAACCTCTGCCTCCCAGGTTCAAGAGATATTCCTGTCTCAGTCTCCCTAGTATTACAGGTGAGCGCCACCATGCCCAAGTTATTTTTATATTTTTAGTAGAGACAGTGTTTCACCATGTTGACCAGGCTGGTCTTGAACTCCTAACCTCAAGTGAATTGCCACTGGGATTACAGGTGTGAGCCACCATGCCCGGCCCCCATCCCTATGTTTCTTTCGGAGATGGAGTCTCGCTTTGTCATCCAGGTTGGAGTGCAATGGGGTGATCCTGACTCACTGCAACCTCCGCCTCCCAGGTTCAAGCGATTCTCCTGCCTCAGCTTCCCGAGTAGCTGGGACTACAGGCACCCACCACCACATCCAGCTAATTTTTTGTATTTTTAGTAGAGACAGGGTTTTACCATGTTGGCCAGGCTGGTCTTAAACTCCTGACCTCAGGTGATCTGCCTGCCTCGGCCTCCCAAAGTGCTGGGATTACAGGTGTGAGCCACTGCGCCCGGCCTCTTTTTTTTTTTTTTTTTTAACTACATAAAAATTTTAAAAACAATAACACCAAACAATGTCTGCATCCCATAAATAATTCAAAGGGATCTCCAGCCTGCACTGGCTCCAGGCCAACCCTTCAGACTCAGGACACAGTGGTACTAGGGTCCAGGTGGAGGCGACCCCATGGGCTACAGAAGGAGCTGGCTCCATTGGGAGAAAGGGTCCCTACGCTTCAGCAATGGAGTGTAAGGAGGCCCCTTCTTCTGCCAGCAGAGGCCTCAGATTCCACCCGTAGCAGCCCCTCTTTGCCCTAGGGAAGACGCAGTAACAACCAGGTTTGGGGACGTGCTGAGGAACAGAGGCCAGGAGTACAGAACGTGGCCCTGGCTTTTGGGGAGAGTAGAAATGGCTTTCCCTGAGCTGGAGACCAGATGGAGCCTAGAGGGGAGGTCTCCGAGTGAGAGGGAGGCCAGGGACTGGGCAGACCAGTGCGGGAGGGAAAGGGAGAACTTACCCTTAGGGTGAGAGGCCAGGGTGTCCCTTGGAAGGCAGACCTTTCCGATAACGTCGTCCCGGCTAGAGGAGGGAGATGGAGTCAGAGCTGGGTAGGGCTTCAGGACCTGCCCTCTGGGACCTCCCACCAAGTTCAGGACCCCCGGGGGGGAGCAGGGTGGTGGACACTGTCATCATTTCCAGATCGACCTGTGGTCCTTCTGTAGGCTGTGGGCTCTGGACCTTCTAGGGGGATGTGATAGGTTTCTATGACATTTCTATCACACGCCTGCACATGCCCAGCTCACGCTCTCTGGGTGCCCATTTCACAGCTCACACCTGCATGCACATGTGTAGTCCATGCACACCTGCGCCCCCATGCCTGCACACATGGCGCGTGCACCATGGAGCCACACATGTGCACACCCACAGGATTAAGCCTTTCGTCCTCCCAGGCCCCCAGGCTCCACTTCCCTCCAGGCTGCAAAGTGGATGCCAAAAAGGAGACCCAGGAGTCCTGGCGGTGAAATGGGCCAGGGAGCAATCAGATGGCCAGGTCTGGGTCCCAGCTGGAGAGGGGGGTGCTCACCTGAGGGCATCCTCATCCATGACGTAGAAAGCCACAGTGTGGAAGGTGGGCGGCAGGTGCACTTGGTACTCTTCACCCCAGAAGGGGCACAGGGTCTTCCACACGGTGGCTGTCCTGCAGGAGAGAACCCTCAGCAGGCGCCCAGGCCACCCATAGGCCCTGGACTGGGACCTTCCTTGTATCTCCTCCTACCCCTATAACTACTGGCTCTGCTGCTGACGTGTTTCCCCTGTGCCAGACCCTACTGTCCACCACCAGTCACTACTCCCTGACCTTCCTCTCTGCCCTGGATGGGGCACAGGGCTGCCTCTCTCTGGCTGTTATTTATTTTATTTATCTTTTTTTTTTTTGAGACAGAGTCTCGCTCTGTCGCCCAGGCTGGAGTGCAGTGGCATCATCTCGGCTCACTGCAACCTCTGCCTCCCAGGTTCAAGCAATTCTCCCTGCCTCAGCCTCCTGAGTAGCTGGGATTACAGACACCTGCCACCATGCCCAGCTAATTTTGCCATTTTAGTAGAGACGGGGTTTCACCCTGTTGGCCAGGCTGCTCTCGAACTCCTGACCTCAGGTGATCCGCCTGCCTCGGCCATCCAAAGTGTTTGGATGACAGGTGTGAGCCACTGTGCCCAGCCTCTCCAGTTGTTTTACATTTGGGGAAACTGAGATCACAGTTGGTAGGGTGTTGGCCTCAGGTCACAGGATACCTGCCTCAGGGCGATTGCCGAGCCTGGCCTCCCATCCTCACCCAGCTCTGGTCAACCCCCTATGGATCAGAGCCTCAACTCATGGGACTCAGCGGGCTAGCGGGTGGGGAGATGCTGAAGCCCCCAAGGACCCAGATGAAAGTTCAGGGGACCACTTCATGCCAACCACTTCTCAGACAGGTCATCTGACCTCGGACCTGTTTCCCTTCTGTATCAAGAACAGCAGTGCCATCACACCCCTCTCCCTCTTGCTGTCTGTGGTTTGCAGACCCTTGAGAAAGGCTGGGAGCCTGCTTGCAGGTGGGGAAGGACTGGGAGTCTGGTGGCCTTGGCTACGAGTAGGCCACGGGCACTCAGGTGGGCAGAACAGCAGGGCAGGTCTGGCCATGAACTTGGAAGCAGGAGCCTGATTGAAGGAAGGGAGAGGACAGCAAAGACCCTGCCCAGAGATCATGGGGACCATGGAGGAAGGGACATCCGGAGGAAGTGGCTCTTCGGGGTGCAGGCTGCAGGTGCCCAGCCTCGAGGGATAATCACTGTGGGACTCTCAGGGGACAGGACCCAAGTTAGAGCCAGGACCGGGGAGGGGAAGGGAGCTAGGCTCTCGGGAGGCCAGACTTAGGCTCCAGTGTGGCTCTGCCACTTACTAGGCTTGTGACCTTGGACAGGGTAGTCTCCCTGAGCCTTAGTTTCCTAGTCTGTAAATGAGGTCTAATGATATCATATCTCACTAATTGCAAGAACTAAACGGGCTAGAAAAGGGCTGGCTCCATAAATGAGAGCTGTTGTTACAAATCGTCAGCATCTGTCTCTCCCGGAGGTTGTGGTGATTGCAAAGATGAACAGAGTCCGGCGAGAGGCCCTTGGCCAGGCCAGTTCCTCGAAGGTCTTTCTCCCCTCCTAGCTCGGGTGTCAGGGTGAGGTGGGGAATCCCAGGCAGAGGACCAGGTGCACCAAGCCCCCTCCCATCTCCGTACAAAATTCACAACAAAATTCACACCCCTTTGCGGGGAGAGCGCAGGTCCGTGAGGGGCTGAGCGCCCCTGGGTCCTGGGAGTGGGGGCGGTACCTGATGATGGGCTCATTGTCCACCTTCACGATGCAGTAAGGGTCGCTGCTGCCGGTGCTGCAAGACAGAAGGGCAGGGGCGGGGCTGGAGGGCAGGGGCGGGGCGGGGCCTCGCGGCACGCTCCTCCCTCTTCCCCGGCCCCTCGGGAGGAGCGCGGGGAAGAGAGCGGAGGCTGAGTCTTCGCATCCTGGTTAGGAGACCGCAGGCTCCTCGGGCCAAACACGGGTCCCCGCCCTCAGCCCGGGAGCGGATGGTGAGGGAAGGGCAGGAACCCGCGGCAGGGCTCCCCTTTCGCGGGCAGGGGTGGGAGTAGATGGAGGGAGAGTTGTGGGGGAGGGAGAAGGAGAGGGAAGAGACAGGGATGGGTAGAGAAAGGAGAAGAAAGGAGGGGCGGGGAGGGACTGGGAGAGGGGCAGAGGGAGGGGCAGAGAGGGCAGGGGATGGACAGGGAGGTGAGAAAGAGGGAAGAGGAGACAGAGGGAGGGGGCTGAGAGGGAGGAGAGAGAGGGACGGGGGCAGGGAAGAGCGAGGAGGAGAGAGAGGGAAGCGGGAGGGAAGGCGGGTGATAGGGAGGGGGAGAAAGAGGGAGGAGAGTAAGAGTGAGGGAGTTAAGAGGGAGGGGGAGACTGAGTTAGGGGGTGAGAGGGAAGGGGTGAGAGGGAGGGGGAGAGAGGGAGGAAAGTGAGAGGGAGGGGGAGAGAGGTGGGGAGAGAAGGGGGTAGAGAGGGAGGGGGAGAGAGGGAGGGGGAGAGAGGGGGAGAGTAAGAGGGAGGAGGAGACTGAGTGAGGGAGGGAGGGGGAGAGAGGGAGGAGAGTAAGAGGAAGGAGAATAAGGGGGAGGAGAGTAAGAGGGAGGGGGAGACTGAGTGAGGGGGTGACTGAGTGAGGGGGTGACAGGGAAGGGGAGAAAGGGAGGAGAGGAAGAGGGAGGGAGTTAAGAGGGAGGGAGTTAAGAGGGAGGGGGAGACTGAGGGAGGGAGGGAGAGGGAGAGGGGAGAGACAGGGAGGGGAGGGAGAGGGACAGAGGGAGGGGTTACTGGAAACCTGCTGTTCCTCCCGCAGGGGATAGAATGTTCCTCCTTTCTATGCCCTCCTACCCCATCCCTGCCTCCCCCCAAAACAGCTCCAAGCAACAGCTCCAGGCAAGCTCCTGGGACCCCTACCCTCTACACCAAAGTCTAGCCCCTTAATCTCCCTGGAGCCTTTGCTCCTGCTGTCCCTTCTGCCCAGTCTGCCTTCAGCCCTGCCAGAGCCCTCCCTTGCCCCAGGGCAGGATGGGGCGGAAGGCGTCCCTGGACTCACACTCCTTGCCCACTTCATCCAGCCTGGTAGTGATCAGCTGCCTCCCACCTGCTCTGAGCTGCCTGGGGGCGGGGAGCATGCCTATGTCCCTAGGGACCCTACAGGGCTTGGCACAAGACAGGCAGCCCGTGAGTGTTTGCCGAATGAACTGACAAATGAATAAACTGATGGTGAATGAATGAATAACAGCTATCTGGGGAAAGAGGGATGGGGGAATGCAAACCTGCGCTCAGTTCCAAGGGTCTCAGGTGTTGGGGGCCTCCTGGAGCTGGGAGAGACCTGCAGCCAGGCCTAAGGCTGGTACTGGGTAAAGTGGGGGAGTGAAGGCTGTCTCTAGAGCTGTTCCTCCACTGAGTGTCCATAAAAAGGAAGTGTGTTTCTATGGTGGAGGGTGGGGAATTCCAACCTCTGCTTCCCTTCTCAAAAGGGGCTCTTCCGGCAGAGGAAGGCACTTGGGGCAAACAGCTCCAGAAGCTCCTGGACACAGACAGGAAATGTCTACCAAGACTCAGTTTTCTACCTATAAAGTGGGAAGTGTAATCCCGGCTCACAAGGGAGCTTACCTGGGTCCTGAGATGATATGAGAAGGTCTTGGAGGTGCTCAGTACATGTTAGCACTGCCTGCAACTGTGCCTGTAACCTCCCCCTGCCATGATCCGAGAGTCCCTTCCTCCTGGCCGGGCGTGGTGGCTCACACCTGTAATCCCAGCACTTTGGGAGGCCGAGGCAGGCAGATCACGTGAGGCCAGGAGTTCGAGACCAACCTGGCCAACAGGGTGAAACCCCGTCTCTACTAAAAATACAAAAATTAGCCGAGTGTGGTGGTGTGCACCTGTAATCCCAGCTACTGGGGAGGCTGAGGCAGGAGAATCCCTTGAACCCCGGAGAAGGAGGTTGCAGTGAGCCAAGATCGCGCTGCTGCACTCCAGCCTGGGCAACAGAGCAAGACTCTGTCTCAAAAATAAAATAAAAAGAGCCCCCTCCAGGGAGCCCCCTGTGAATACCCCAGCTTGTGTCCCATCAACCCAAAGCCAAGGGACTCCAGGTGCTAAGCAATCAGGCCCCTGGGCACCCCAGGTGCTGGGCTGGGCTGCAGGATCCAGGAGCCATACAAGGAGCTCAGAGGAGGCAGGGAGAGGTCAGTCCTGGCTGAGGCAACAGGGGACCTCCCTGGGCTGTCCCCCACTACTGAGCTGCTACTGCTTCCAAAGGCCTGGAAGCAGGACCCAAACCCCAGTGTGCAAGGACTGTGAAGAGCTGGGTGGCTGCATCAGAGGGCGGGGGCAAGAGGACGGTATTGAGAGCAGGCCGAGGCCAGATTTAAGGACCTGGGCCCAACCATGGTCCCCAGTGGGTTGCTGGAACCCATGCCCAGTTCCTTCTTCGCTAGTGAGGCCCCTAGGCTGCCCACCTCTCTCATTTCTCCTTCCCCAAGCCAGTCGCCACTGGCCTTGTCTGGCTGCTTTTGGGTCCTCTATATTTAGGGCCTTGGCAGTTTCTAGGCTGTGGAGGGAGGAGGATCAGGGAAAACCCTGAAATAGCCTTGGGCCAGTCCCCAAGGCCACTTGGTGTGGGAGGCAGTGGGTCACTGGTCATCGTGAGACTTGGCTCATGCCTAGGTATGCGGGGATGAGAGACAGTGGGAAGAGGCAGGGCAGGAACAGGCAGGCTCTGAAAGCTAGCAGTGATGGGGAATGCAGCTGTGCTCTGTGCCCTTTAGAGGAACAAAAACCCATGAGCAGAAGTGGCAGGAAGGCAGCTGGCAGCTGTGTGAGGACCGTTCCCTCCTTGGAACTGACTCAGTCAAGATCAGCCACTATGAGAGGTGGTGAGCTCCCCATCCTCAGAAGTATGCAAGCCCTGGCTGGAGAGGATGCCACTCAGAAGATAGGCGGGGCACTGGTGAGGCACAGGGAAACTCCAGTACTCAGTAAGGGCCTCCCATGATCTCCAAACCCCTGCCTGACTCTGCAGCCAAATGCTTTGCATAGGATTTCCGAGGCTCAGTCTCACCGAGCCCAGCCACAAGCTTGCAGCCGTGGGCAGGCTAGGATTTTCAGCCTGTTGGCAGTAGACAAAGGCAATCTGAATCCTGACTTCTCTACCTACCCTCTGTATCAACTTGGCAAATGACTTTCACTTCCTGAGCCTCAGTTTCCCAATGTGCAAACTGAGGACGTCTACCTTATAAAGCTAAGATGAGGACTAAGTAGGGGAAGTCCTCAACACCTCTTATTCTCCCCTACTATGGACCTGGTGCCAGGATTAATGAGTCACCGTCCCTGCCCTCACAGTCCCTGCCACACCAGGGGCTTCCTCCTGCCACCTAAAGTGCTGGGGGGCGAGACCAGGAGCCAGGAACTCTGCCCAAGGACACCAGAGAATGCCCTGGAGAGGAGAAGTTTGAGAGGGGTCCTGAAGGATGAATGGGAGTTTTCTGGAGGACTGAATGGAAGTGCTTGAAGACAGAAGTCCCCACACATGGGCGAAGGCAGAGATGTGAAGGGTAGTAACCCAAATGTGAGGGACTGTTTATGGGATGATTTAAGAGGTGGCTGATAGATCAGAGTTGTGTATGCCAGCCACAGCGGAAGATAGGGGGGTTGCAAAGGAGACGTGAGTAGGGCAGGCAGGGGGACTAGGGCAGGCAGGGGGACAGGGTGAGGAGTGAGATTTCAAGGCACCCTCCACTGTAGACGGAGCCCCTTTGCTCAGAGGCAAAGCACTGGGCAGGGAACCAGGCACTGGGCTCCCAGGTGGGCATACCAGAAGAGCTCCGCTGCCCTGGGCTGGAGAGAGCCTGGAGCCAGGCACTAGGGCCAGCTGCTGTGGGGATGAGGAGGGAGGCGACAGACGGAGGGGCTGCTCCTCCCAGCCGTCATCAGCCAGAAGAGGCCAAGATGACCTAGTTCCTAGTGCCAGTGGTGGCAGGGGGTGGAGGGTGCTTAAAGGCTGGGCCTGGAGGCTGAGACCCTTCTCAGAGGTCCTCTGCCTTCCCAGCCCACACACCTCACTGGCAGCTCCCACTCCATCTCCCTCCAAGCCTCCAAGCACAGAAACCCACCTAGGGCTGCCCACCGCCCTCCCTTCCCCATTGTCATGGTAACTGCTGAGCTGGGCCTCATCAGACCCAGGGGGCCTGGAACTGGCGCTGCTCTCAGTGGTGGCGCGCTGAGAGTGCTGGGAAGCTCGCAGGGGCCACCATACATATGTGTGAGCGGAGTGCCTGCCTCACACCCTGCCCCACCCCCTCGCCCACGCTGACCACTTCTCTGCATCCAGGAGCCCGGGGCGCCCCGAGGAGGAGCCCCAGGGGTGGGGAACTGCAGCCCCGCAGACTTTGGACTCTGTTTCCTCCAGGCTCCCCTTCTCCCCTCCCACCCTCCTCCTCCAGGCAGCCAGTGCCCCTCGACCTTTGAGCTTTCCCCCTCTTCCTCTAGAGGGATTTCAACCCCTAGTTTAAAGAGGGGAAACTGAGGCTTGAGGAGCAGGGAGCTGCCGAAACCCTGCACATGAGGAAAGTGGTGGCAAGACCAAGATGGGGGACCAGGGGTCAGGCAGCTCAGCCCTGGGACCTACTGAGAAGAGTGGGACGAGGGGCCCCTGAAACCTCCCCAAATCGAGCCAGGGACCAGGGGAATCCCCAGATGTCAGTGCCTGTTAGAAGCCCTAGACTCAAGACCCTGCTCTGCCTGCCACTTGGAGCCAGTATTTCACGTCTCTGATCCTCAGTTTTCTCATCTGTAAAATGGAACGGTGAGAACCGCCTTTCTGGGTGGTTGCGAGGATTAACGGGATGGCTCAGGTGTAAAGCCCAAGGCACAAGAGACAGTTACTACTCTCCTTCCCTCCCCCACAGTCCTGCACCTGTCCTGTCCTCCTGACCTGTTCTCACTTTTCATGCCAGTCCCTCCTACCCAAGTGCACAGCAGGAAGCCCGGGGACAGCCCCTGGGCCTCAGCATGTGCTTCAGGTGCACACTCAGGGGCATTAAGGGCTCTGGAACTACTGATCAAGACCCTTCCTTTGCAGGGGGACACCCCACCCCTCCAACCACACCCCAGGGGCAGATCACCAAGACGTCTCCCCTGGCACGTCACCCAGCTCCAGCTCCTGTCCTATCAAAGCCCCTTCCCCTCGTGAGCCGCGGATCGCTGACAAATTCTCGCCCCCCTCCCTAGTTCCCAGCCCCCCAGCCCTCGGTGACACTTTTCCCGCCCCCCCTCGGTTGTCACCCCGTCTGGTGCTCACAGCAAATGTCACTGTCCCCATTTTCCCCGCCGATCCCCCACCGCGGCCGCACTCCCGCACCCTCTCCACTGCTCTACTTGTGGGTGGACCCCGGAAAGGTCAGGCGTCCTGGGGGGCAGTGCCCCTCCCCGGAAAGTTGGGGCTCCCACCCCTGGCCGCGCTCACATGTCCTTGGCGGGCAGGTTCTTCCCCTCCACGATGCGGATGTACAGCGAGCTGCGCTTGGCCATCGCGGGGTCCTGGCTCGTGGGGAGCCAGACACCGGGGTCC